CAAGCCATTTTTTCCTAGAGTTTTTTATGGCGTTACCTAACCTTCAGTTGCACCAGGCCGCTTCACGTTTCAGTTGGTACGATATTCGACATGTCGCAATACATTGTATAGACGCAATACACTACTCAAAAAGCTGCAAAACACTTCGGCAGCCCACAACCGGTTTAGCTCTTCTTGGGGCTCGTCAACTGGGCGTAGTCCCTGAGTTTCCATCAACCCTATTTTCTACTTGAACTCATAAGGCTGGCAGAAGCTCGAGGATCGCACCTACCTGACTAGCCTCAACAAGGACGAAACCAGCCGTAAGTTGTCAAAGTTTCCAGTAACATTGTACGTAGTGTCGCTACGATTGCTTCGCAACTTCTTAGAACTCGACGTGGTGTTTTACAAAATTTGAGTAGCGTGAGGCATGTTGGACGCTTGTCTGTCATAGGATTCTGATTTCTTCAAAGTTCAAGGGCGTTAGATCTCGGTTGCTCTTCGGATGCCACCGATATGATGTGAGTCCGTGTAAAAAGAGGGCTGATTTCGTCTGGGTAATACATGTTTTCTGGATAAATATGGGGCAAAAAACAAGGAATATCAAAACTAGAATCACAATTGTCTGTTTTGACAGAACCAACTACGTACCACGCTCAAAGTAGCTCAGCATGTAACACGCTAATATATTGTAACACGATTGCATAACGGAGACAGCCGGACGATATTCGGAAACTAATCGTAGGAAATGAGTCCCAACCGGCACCAAAACTCCAATGCCTTTTGATCAGCCACCTGAAGGCAAGGCGACCAATTTTCTCTGTTTATCGGTGCTTGGAAATTTTTGGGACTAGTAAGAAAGGACGCAAAGTTTTCTTACATTATCTACTGCATTTGGTTCTTAGCCATGGTTTCTGTTCGGTTTAAATACAAGATAAAAACGAAAATTCATAGCACCGCTTGGACGTTGATGGGAGGGATGTCTCATATACGGAGCTTGGATGATAATGAACCGGGCGTGTTCGAAACGCACAGGTCTATAGAAGTTCTGTCTGAAAAACTTGCGTGTGTACAAGTTGACTTGTTTGATTCGTCTGGTTAACCAGTCATTCCGCACTCTCCACGAGGATATCCTCAGCATAGTTTGAGTGATTTTGAGTTGTTCTTCGGGTTCCGCGCAGGTCGTCCGCCTTTGATAACCAAGTTGGTAATCTTTTTAGAAACTGACAAAAGGCATTTCCAAGAGACTTCTTTCAAACCAGCTGTATTCGCATTTCTGTTAGGTTCACCGGTATTCACGAAAGCTTTCTCTAATTTTTAGTACCATTTTTACTGTTATATTTATTATTATACTAAGCACTTCTAGTTATGGATTCGTAATTGTTCAGCTGTAACAACTTTTCGATGTCTAAATGCCATGCCACCCGAAAGAAGCACGAGAGCTGGGATACAACCTGGTTGCTCAGGTCCAGACAGGGTAAGTCGAGAGGCAGATATTGAGTTCTCCAACCACGGACCTTCTGGTCAGTAAATTAGCGCTCTAACCACTGAGCCGTCTCGCCCTGGCGGAAAACACTAGTTTTTCGCTTGGCACTCTAGTGAAAACTTCGCAGAACGACCATTCTGCGGAGAGTTCAATCCGTGAATAGCATACAGTGGATCGACTTCACTTACAGGATGAAACCTCCACTGAAATCCCCAAATATCGTCACACTACCAAGAATGGCGTTCACCTGGCCAGCCACGACATACAGTGTGGATGACTTCTGAGCACTCTGTCACAATATCCAAACATTTTCATGTCTGTAACGATTAAGCGTGTTGTGTCATACATTAGTCCCATTTATCCAGCCTGTTCGAACCTATGTTTTGTAAAGTTTTTTCCCCAGTTTCTCTTCTTCCATGCGTATGCGCTTAGTAGCTGACTATTCTGTCACGTGAAAAGATGGTCGCTTTTCTGGATACTTTGTAAGCTAGATAAACTTGTTGTAAATACCTGATTAGCATAATACTGAGAGATTAGTTGAAGATAAACCGGCTTTTGAATCCGTCTCAATGCAATGCATGTCTGATGTGACGCATGATGACAAATGGTTATCGCAGTTTTGGTCACTGTGAAAATATCAGCCCATTTTCTCATTGATCAGGCAACTTTAGGGCACCAGTTCGTCGACTGGTATTCTCCTAACAGTGCTTGGGATCAGCTGAGCTGAATAGGCTATAATTAGAAATTCTAGCTCGTGCGATTCTTCTAGGTGGCTTATCTGTACCGGATTGGGACAAGTGGAGAAGAGCACACTAGACAACCGGAGATGTCACCAGAATAAAAGTGCTTGTCTGCCAATAATGCACCCTCGTCCAATTCCACGGGTTTTGGCACCTTACAGAACAAACCGTGTTTTAGGTGTCATCAGATCAGACACATTAAGCACTGCATATTCGGTTGAATAAATGCCAAAATGAGAAGACTAATTCGAGTCACACGAGGGGGATCTTTTCGAGCTTCAACTGCACGTCAGTTCACTATGAAAATTAATAACCCGATAACAACGTTCTTCTGAGTGGGAGCGAGATGGCCTAAGTAGTTGGAGCGCAAATTTACCGACCAGAAGGTCCATGGTTCGAACCCGACCTCCGCCTCTCGACTTCCCCTGTCTAGGCTTAGGCAACCTTGCAGTATCCCAGCCCTCGTGCAACCCTCGGGTGGCTTGGCAATTAGGCACCGAAAAGGTGCTGCAGTTGAACAATTTTATTTTCAATTTATGTTCTTCCGAGTTCAATACGCAATCTAACCACGCATTTAAACAAATCAGACAGATAGCCGGAGAGCACGGCTTGACTGCAACCCACAGCTGCCTCATTAATTGCGAATCTTCAGCACGTTAGTAAACCCAGTGAATGTTGTCATATGAAGGCCATTCAAAACATTCAGCACAATAACAGATGACTCAACACACCCGCATAACTTCTACACGTGGAGCACCGCATGTGCGTCACTTCAACATTCTTAAAACAAAGTACGTAACACATTTTATCCTGGAGGAACACATTGGCTCTCTGCTTCCGTCTAAGACATTAACAATTCTAGACACCGATGATAAGATAACACATCTTTACTATGCCAGTTACTGCTCATCTATTAGTTACCAACGTCTTCTTTCTTCATCTTACGTAACCGATTTTCATTACCTATCATTAATCATTTTTGCTTCAATGGACCTTAGTGACTGGCACGAATAATCTATCTATATATATTTATTCGGGTGACTGCCTACAGACAACAAAGGATACATCAGATTGTATTACGACCTACAGATCGACCGTTTTTCAGCCAGAAATTATTGTCACTCTTTAGGTTCACACAATAAACTCGGGTCATTGTTTTACGGGTCACTGAGATGTAGGATGGTGAGATTATGTGGTGATTCAAACACACACACACACACACACACACACAAGCACACATACATGGTTTTCCAAACGCCGAACGATCTGATTGCGAGTGACTTCAGGTCAGGCAGCCACTGTCAACCCAGCGGTTGGTGTACCACGGAGTCGCCCTCAATCCAGTAACAGCCTTCTGCGAACCAGGTTTGCTCAAATTGTCTTGCTTTGTGGGCTGCGGGTGTCTGCTCCATTTTGAGATGGTTATCGCATTCTAACTACTCACCACTCTCCAAGCGGATTTCAGTGGTTAATTAAACCCGATGACCACAGAAGATGAGCGCACAGATTTGCTCTGTGTGTGCGTGCGCGTGTGTAGGTAGGTAGGTAGGTGTGTCAGCGTGTTCACCTATGTGTGCTCAAATAGTTTCACTCCGTCAACGTAGCCACGTAAACCGTAACGGAAATTAGTATCATACGAAACCGTTCTGGTAAGACAGACGGATTCGTGAAAAGTGTATCGAAAAATCGTTTAACCGCATATTTGCTGGGTACTGTGACCCTTGGGATTCACAGTTTACCATTCATCAAAAAGGCACACTGGTCAGGCAAATGCTAACACGAACGGAAACATGGGCGGAAATTGAAACGACAGTTGACTAGGTATTTTGATGAATCTGTCCACCAAAGTTTTTTTTGCAAACTTATCGAGCCAGATGGTACATGAGTATCACGGACACAAACCAAAGCACGGTCTCATCAATTAATCCAACGCAGATTAATAGCCACAGGGTGGTCATCTTGGTTCTCAGCCCTCCGACCAATTGTTGAAACGGTACTCGGATGTACAAACGAGTCGATGTGCATCGAATACAATGACATGAACGCTGTTTGGTCTAGGGCTGTCACTTTTCCTGCGATGATCATTCTCCTCAAAAGTGCGCAGTTAACAGAAACCCCTTTTCACCTGTTCGAAAATATTGTGCAACACTCCACATGCCAATTTTAGTCTTATTCCTCATCATCCACATCAGGTGGTCACTTTTCGACTGGTTGCTCGAGTGACGTCCTCAGAAGGACGTATCACACAACCAGTGAAAAGTACATTTCCTCCGAGAAGTTTACTGGATTCCACGTGATGAGTTGAGTATTATTCAAAAGAAATTTCATCCTGTCAGTAAACCAAATCTAGGCTGAACCAACCCCTACTGCATGAATTTACGTTTCCTCTGAAGCGCTGCTACAAAAACTAAACCCGTTTTGTTTGCAGTGTTTTCTTCTAGAAGATTAATCGATATATTGACCAGGTGCAAGAAATGAACTATACACCTAAACCAGAAGTATTCGCATCGTCACACGGTTGTACTACTGATATGAAAATTTATCACAACACCGGATGTCATAATGCAGAAAAATAAAATCGATAAAAGTTGTTCGGAAAACTTTGAAGGGAATAACTCAGCAAATCATGAGCGAACCGGTATTAACAGTTATGAGGTACAATGCATTTTCGAATAGGTGGCATCGGGAGACATAAACCCTGTTGCCCCAACTCATTTTTTTCAAAAAGGAAGGCATTCGATTGAAACCTGATGAAGGATTGCCGCAAAATATAAAGTCTAAAAATACTGGTAATGTTAGTAGGAATTGAAGGATTCATATATACAGGTATCTGTACATTCGGATATCTCTTTCTCAGACACCCAGTTAGTTGGATTTGAACTCATTGTGGTAAGTGTTTTGTCAAAATCGACATGTTGAGTCATAGGAGTTAGTAGTGGAGGGTTTGGTAACTCATCCAATTGGTTGTTTATGGAACACTGTGCAGCTGCTGCTGCAATTGGGGGAAGGGTTGGGTGGGTTATCCACGTGGTTGGGTATGTGTCCCAATCACCAACTGGATCCAAGGGAGCACTTTCCTGATTGGTCACATGAATTGGCGGGAACAACTGTCCGTCGCCAGTAATGGATGAGGAAATAGATTGTGAGGACGCGGAAGTTTCCGATCTCCTAATCATATCAGACGTGTTTTGTGCAGTTTCAGAAGAATGGGTTTCGTCGAGACAGACCTGATATGTTTGGCTTTTCGTCAACTGGAACAAAGTGGAGTGTGATTGCTCGTTGGCTACATGTGCGCTATGCTGCGGGTTAGGCAGTGGTTCATAAGTTTCCGTAGGATTCGAAATGTTATAACCATGGGAATGATCAGCCTGAATTTCGAAAGAATCTGGTGGAATCCATAACGTATTGAGCTGTTCGCACTGCACATGTGACGCAGAGTACCCTACGAACCCGGGCACTTCGTCATGGTGCATACGAGCTTCCCGAAATTCATTAACCGGAAAATGGATGGAAAAATTATTCTCACTCGGATCAGGCCACAACGAGTTTTCCGAGGTTGCGTGTGAATGATGCACCACGGTCGTTGCATAATTCCGCCCACTAGGGTAGGACATTTCTGATTGAATCATATCCATCATTCCTGCATTTTGTTCGTAGGTTTCCATAGCCCCCGAATCAGAGATGTAGGAAGAGACTGCGCCGCCCACAGCCTCTGTACTGATATCTGGATAACCGGGGAATCCGTTTATTTGAGATAGAACGGTGCCGTTCCCGAATGCACACAGATTTGTCGGGGTGTGGTGTGTTCGACTTGAAGATATGGACAATGACGAGGTGGAAGATGACCACCTAGATGAGTGGGAGGAGAATGGCGAAGAGCAAATGTTAGGCGGACCGGTTGGAATGTCCATGACGAAAGGTGACCCGTATGCTGAAGGAGATATCATCATCGTTTCATTAAATGGTGCACAATGGTTTGGTAGCATGAATGCGGTTTGGTTTGCCTCCGAGCTATTTGTAGCTCCTTCGGGATAGACTGGCAAATGTACTGGAGGCATTGTCCATTGGTTTGATTGTTCGATTTGGCAAGAAGTTGATGATAAACCAAGTTCAGTGGATGTGCTCAAACTGCCTGATAGGTCCAAATTCGAATAAGTATATGGCTCGTGTTTCTGAAGGTAACTCTTTGAATGTTCTGCGAACCACTTTGGGACCTGACGCAACGCTGAGTCTGATTTGACTGGTCGACTGGACTCAAATGAGGGTTTACGACAGCGATCTGGAAGAGAAGGAAAAAGTAAAAGTCACATCTTGGAAGCGCTCATCGTCCTGAAACTCGGTTAAGTAGAAACCGATGAGGAGGACGCTGTCTTTGGCAGGTGGCAAGATTTGAACACATTCAGTGTGCTCTTGAAATCTAAATGGGTTGCAACCTGGATTTCCGTTAGAAACTACCATATACTTCAAGTAAATGAGGCTTTTCATACAACTATGGAGCGAAAACATCTTCAGGTATGATGTGGTTAATCTCGTATCAGCAAGCTTTGAGGTGTTTCACCTTCGTTCCCATCTCTGGTATCCTTTGTGACACGTGGTAGTCCACACTGAATGAGTCCACAATATATTGGCAAGGGGCGAGATGGCCCAAGTGGTTAGAGCGCGAATTTACCGACCGGAAGGTCCGTGGTTCGAATCCGACCTCCGCCACTCTACTTCCCCTGTCTAGGCTTGGGCAACCTGGCAGTATGCCAGTCCTCGTGCTTCCTTCGGGTGGCATGGCAGCTGGGCACCGGAAGGGTGCTACAGCTAAACGCTTTCTTTTTTTATTATTTTGACATTATTCACATGTCTATACTGTTGTCTACGAAAGCAATGCACATGTACCCGAATTCAGTACGTACTTGCTCGCTCAAGAGATCTGCTTCACATGAAGCGGTCGTGCGAATAAGGTGGCTTACAGACGGTTGCAAGGAAGAGAGAGAGAGAGTACAGCCCTGGCTTTTACGATAGAGAAAAAACAAGAGAGTCAAGGAATCCATGCACTACATTCAAAATCATCTTTCTTGTCAAAGCTGGCTGGTTCTTAGAGGACGGTGCGCTGAAAAAGACGCAGTATCAACACTCGAAATCAACTCCGACCTAGAAAATGTCTGACTTGCTTCACCAATACGTGATGTAACTGGTAAAGCGCTGGCGCATGAAATCACACATTGCTCCAATGGGGCCGAATTATTTTGGAATGGGGCTCACCAGAAGTTTTATCAGACAACAAAGTGGTTTCCAAACCTTGTTGTCACGAACGAGTGGTTACAAGGTTGCCTATCCCAAATCTAGGACCTCACCGGTTGAAGCACAGAACAGTGGCAGTTACTATCGAGAAGAATGTTGGTAGCTCAAAGGCAGTTATTGCTACCCTGATATTCTCTTGCGTTTCCACAAGTTACCTTATCCCATTCTTCAGTTGAGTTACCATAAAACGGTACTGAAACTGCGAAACGTCACAACGAATAGTGTTGAGTGCGTACCGGGACCGTGACCTCAGCTTGGTCAAGGAAACTTCAGGCATATTAACACTTACGAGCGGTACTCAACCGATCAAATCCGATAACGAATCCGGATTAACGACGGAAAATGAGCTTGCTGCAGGTTTTTACGGTTACAGTAAAATGACCATCTCAGGACCCAGAACGTCACGCCTTGCAAGATTCAGAGGTTCTGAACTCTCAAGGGATTGTTCCCTCAACAAGGTTTTCTTTCTACCTTCGGCATTTGTCAAGAAAAAACCCTATAATGTCAACCTTTCTCACGGGAGACACCATTTTAAATGGCTTCCAGGACAAACTGAGTAGAGTTCAAACAATAGCAGACAGTAATCAGAATTTCACTATCAACATTGTCATTTATTCATCCATAAAGCGACAGGGTTTTCATGAACGATCGGTAGGGACTGTCACTTGCCCCAGCACACTCCGGCTAACACTCGACGACTTACTAATCATAAGACTGCTGAAGACTTTTCGACATTGCCCAACCGTTTTCTCCCTTCAGCTTCGAGTTACCTCATCAGGTGGGCACAGTCCCCGCCTTACCGGTGACCTTATCTTCTGCGTGAATCCAAATTGCATGAAATTAGCGAATTACACCCATTTGGTTAGAAAACATTATAAACGAGATATTCAGATGGGTCCCAGGTGAGTCTCCCGAAAAACCAAAGTTGTTTGCAAATGAGTGTATTTCGCGCTAATTTCATGCGAGTTGGGTTCACGTAGAGCATTAGGTTGGTGGAGACTCGGGGACTGTGCCCGTCTAATGAGCCCCAAGAAGAGCGAAATCGGTTGTGGAGTGTCGAAGAGTTTTCGGCAACCTTTCAAGTAGTCTACTACATCCATACCATTTATCGCGATATCTCGAGTCTCGTGCCGACTGAAACGTGAGGCGACCTTGTGCCGCCCATCCGGTTCTTTGAAAACATCATAAATGAGAGATTCGGCTGGGCTCCAGGTAGGTCTCAAGTCAAAATAAATGAGTGCATTTCACCAACTTGATGACTCACTTTTTTTCGAACGTTTAGAAATTCCTTCGTTCAAGCTGGAAGGTTGGCCAAATAGTATGGTAGGTAAGGGCTCCACCTTGTTCTTTTTATCTCTGCAGAGCTACACGAAGAAAGATCAATCATGCAATTAGGATATTCAAGACCACGACTAAAAAAACAGGAGTTCTCGCCTGGGTTACCACTTTTGTTAAATTACTCACCAACCCAATCGTGAGCCTCACTACCGCAGTAGGCAAAATTAACAGTAGGGTTGGTGGCCGGAAGAACTGCTTTGGATTGGTTTTTGATCACGTGACATCAGTTGTAAAGTGACAGTGAGCTGTCGTCATTTGATGAAAAAAATCACCGGAATGAAATCATACATGTCACAGGGTGCGGATCAAGTGCATAGTTCAATCAAGATTTGAAAAGCATAGGACACTATGAAATTAGCATCAAATGAAACGATAAAGCTTACTTTTATATGTGTGAAAAGGTTTTCTTTTAAATGAGGCAGCGAAAAATTCTGTCGCTTATCAGTAAAATTATCCCCATGGTTTACGTCGCTTTTTCTCGGCAGGAAGAAATGGTTACCTGTGGCTTGTTTGTACAGAAATACCTTGACGTGTGTAACCTCCCTTGGTTTGTTCTGTTTTTACAAAACTGAATATGCATTGAGCAACCTAGATCCAACCCGGGTCCATCTTGACACCGAAAGCATCCAGCAGTTTGCATGAATCCTGGTTAGGACAAAGCGGCTACCAGCCGTTTCGATAAACGTTACCGAACGTAGCAAAGGCTTCCTCATAATCGATACAACACCAATGTAGATTCGCTGCTGACCTAACGACGATGAAATAAACATGTAGCTTCCAACTGCTACCTGGCATAATCCAGTCGCCTCGTCATTGGTGTCTGAATTTACATGCCGAAGCAATCTGTATTTCGAGTCAAGGTGTTCACGGAGCTGAGTTCCATCAAATTGGAACGGGAGGACCGAACTTCGTGAGGACATGGCGATTGAACTAGAAACTCCTCAGGTTCTCAGTGACCGGGTGAGAAATCACGAACACCAACTGCCCCGCAAATGCATTATCAGCAGACCCTTGCCCTACTTCTTCGCGCTCAGACTGTTGCAAACAGAATGGATAAGTCGAAGTTCGACGCTCACATCAGTCTTGTTTGAACATTCGTCCTCCTGTTCTGGCGCAATCGTTCTGGTGAGGCCACACCAAAAAGGGGAAAGCAATGGACTTGAGTTTCGTTCTTATTAGAGGTGCGTTAAGCACACCACGGGTGAATTGAACCAACGGAGATAGTCGATCTGGAAGCAATTTGCCGGCTGTCTCTTTGATCACCCACAGATAGAATGATGGAAAGGCGACTTATCTTGATGGTCGCAGTGTCCTCATTCGTCCACTCCCGCCTTATTCCAGTTGGTCTTACAGCGGGTTCACAATGGGTTGACAACAAAGCTTGCCAGGGTGACATCCTTCAAAAAATGTCTTTACTACCTTGATTAGTGATCATACTTATGTTAAGGAATGTCTACTAACGGTCAGTCAATCGAAAGCACCTCTAGGCAGAAGGAATGTCCAACTTACCCTATTCAAAGATGTAGCCTGTTTCGATGAATTGTTCACCCATGGACTAGGATCAATGAGCACATCTTTCTTGCACTTTCCCTTCAAACGTTCAAATGGGCTTGGCATTGAAAACGCCATTCCATCGGTGGTTTCTTCTTCCTCCAGGAGACCGTCGGATTCAATCTTGCTGTTATCTGTCAATGGTGAACTCGCACCAGGATTAGTGTTTGTTAAACCAGACCGCTTTGATACCGGAGAACGTCCGAACGTGGTCAGATCAACATCGAACGAAGAGTAGGATTCTGAAAGACCAAAGGTTTTCAAAGAGGGACGGTTGTGATCGTGTTCACCTTTGGCTTCGAAGTACACCGCACCGTTGGCAAATCGCCAGAAATGCGTCACCGGATATCCACTATGGCCTCGACAGTTGCGCAGCACCAAGCGACCCGAACACCCCGGAGTGATGCACATACGGTCTGACAAAAAGTTTAAAAAAGTCGATATCACTCGGACACTCGAGAGGATGCAGAAAATCTTCCCGGACACAATAAAACACAATTCCTTCATCTAGCAATCCAATTTGTCGATGGGATGAAGTCATAACCCTTATGGAAAAGCACGGAACTCACTCTCAGGAGGTTTCGTTCTCAACATGACCGTCAAGACAGAGTACAATGCCTTCAATGCAATTTAACTTACTTGTCAACTGCTATATGAAGTTTTTCGGAGATGATTCGCAGCCACAAAATGATGTATCTTACTTTGTTGTGTTTGAAAAAAAGACATACGAATAAATCGAGCGCTCACCCTTTAGATGCAGTTGCGCTCTTTTCTGAGCTTTCAGTTAATTGTCCAGAGGATTAATTTATCACTTGAACAACCACCATCCAAACTCCCCCCTCAATCTGTTTCTGTAAACAACATCCTGAAAGCATGAGACATACTCAGCCAAACTCCCTCTCAGCCATCGTGTACAGGGGAAATCAGATGATTTTTACCGGTAGTGTGGGATTTCATGCAGCGCTGTGTGTGTGTGTTATCCGATTAAACCGGGAGTATAATCTAACACGGACCATTTTTCTCGACGGTTTGTCACGTTCCGCGCAAACTGAGTTTTGACTATCCCGACCGGGGGGGGGGGGTTCGGTTTCTAGTCGACTAAATTCGGCGAGCCTTGATCAGCCTCTCGAATACTGAACGGGTTTCTTGAATCTTTTTTTCAGCTACTCGTAATCAGGCGCGGTTACTGTGGGAGGGAGTGGTGAAGCAAAATTGGTCCAGCGATTTGGAAAACAGCTGATGTGATGCATGGGAAGTTCAGATACAAAACTCCCATCAAAAATGGATCCAGGTTACCACAACATCGAATGTGGATGGCTCATTTCGTGAATCATTTGGGCATCAAGACAGCTCTAAAAATGTTGTATGCGACTCTGATTTCAACACAACTTCAGTCAACTGCAATTCTACAAAATGGTCAAACTCCTAGAGAGGAGAACTTTGCGCATTTGTGAACAGAGCCACACAAGAGATCTAACCTCCGCGATCTGATTACGAATGAACTTCAGCTTCATTAAGGGAAACTACTCACAAGGTTGCTGATAACTCTTTGACAGCTGACAACCGGTTTCACCCTTCTTGGGGCTCATCGGGTAGGCGCAGTCCCCGCGTTTCCGTCAGCCTTATGTTCTACTTGAGCCCAAATTGGACTGTTTTCAAGAAATACAATCATTTGCAACTCAATTCGATTTTCAGGAGAGACTCAACTGAATCTCTTGTTTATGATACTCAAATGAATGCGTTGCATCACGCGTTGTCACATGTTCCAATTGGAACGATATTCGAGAAATCACAACACTTACTGATTTGTTTTTTCCTGGCCTTATCACAAATGGCCGGCCGTAGACTGAGAGGCTTTCCGTGAACCAGACAACCGGCCGAGCATTCGAGAACGCCTAGGCATGATTTCTTCAGCACTTGCGGATTGTGATTGTTTGTATTGCGCATTGCCCAACCACTCTGGTGTCGACGTGCTCGTTCGCAAGCCTGTGAATAGATGCGTCGGCAGTGGCCGGTTGGCCACAACTCGTACGGATCAAATGTTGGAACCTATCGGTGAGAAAGATCGGGGCAGATATCGACTAACGAAAGTGTTTTAATGAATTGGCTTTCACTGAGTGACAGTGGTCATGCACATTTAGTGGAAAAAATACATCAATCCCTTGGTGATCCTTTTGTTTCCTTTGTCCACTAAGTAGGCGAATAAGTAGTATAAATGAGGATGTGTGGGAAATAGACCAACTGACAGTTTTTTGCAACTACGGATGTCTAAGTTACGTGGCTGTCTACGTGCCAACTGAGGTTAAAATCCCCTACTTGGGTAGCTCAGTGTTCGGATATGATAAAATAACTCAGTTAACAAGACACACTACTCATAAGGTTGTTGAAAACTCTTCGACAACCCACGACCAGTTTCCTCTTGCTTCGGGGTCATCAGGTGGGCGTGTTCCCCGAGTTCCCGTGGACCTTACATTCTACATGAACTCAAATCGGATAGATTTCGACAAATACTCTCGTTTGAAAACGAATTTGGTTTTCACGGAAGACTCATCTGGAGCCTAGCTGAATCTCCCCCTTTTTTGATCTTTCGCTTCAACTGGGCTTTTGTGCGCAAAGGCTCCCTCATGTTTCATTTGGGTACGATCTTCCAGATATCGCAATACTTTGTTGTCTAAATGTAACAGTACTCAAAAAGTTGCCGAAAACTCTTCGGCTACTTCGTTCAATGAATTCACTGAAGAATCGAACTGCGCCGTGTTCCACGATTACAAATGAACGAACACACTTACTCAACTTTCGATAAAAGCGCTTCGTTTTCACCACCAAACTGCCTACCGCGATAGATCACGAAACGTCCCTATCTCGAGTCATTAGTTTTTTATTCCTTTTCAGCCCGAACAAATCATGTTTCCGGAGATTAATTTTCCAGTTTGAACGCTCAGTCGTCTTGCTTCCGCTTTTGTTTAGAAGTTGGAAATACACTGCAGTAAAAGCGTCCGCATCATCCATTGGTAGAACCCATCGGGAACGGTCTTTCCAGAGGCTGGGTCACCTGTATATTGGCGCTCGTTTTGATGGTATTGTGCAGAGGTCACACCAGCCGAAGAATGAATGAGGGTCTATAGGATGCTTTGTAGGGAGGGAGGAACAGATTTTACCCCCAAATTTAAAATGTCTAGTATTTCATTGTAAGACTCATCTTCTTACCTGAGACACCTATGTCCACTCGAAAAATCTTGGCGAATCATCGTCCTATTGTTTGTACAGTCAATATGTTACGGGAAGCACTTAAATGCCACACTGTTTACCGCTTCTAAAGTAGCTTGTATCAACGCTGTAAAGAAGGCTTCGTGGTTTTTATTTTCCGCCTCCTATTCCCACTAGCAATACTGTTAAAAGTAAGGCAGTGCCAAGGGTGTCACTAGGGCAGGGAGAAGCTATACCATGTGTGAAACGATATATAAACTATGTGAAATCAATCATTCAAGTCAAAACCCAGAGGGACTCTGGAGCACCACGCTCAGTGTAATGGTGTACTATACGCGCGAGTAATAAAAACCCCTGTAATTTTCAAAAGAAGACCGCTACTCTCGTTCTTCACGATCAAATGAAGACTTGACTAAAGTCTTGTGTTGGTTGTAACAGTTTAAAAATTGTATTTCTGTATCTGCTAATCCAAGAAAGACTCATTCACGATAGGTCACCCATGCTTGAGGACCAAACATTGGACACAGACCCAGAATTTTTTCCCTCTCAGAAGGAAGCTGGCAACTCAAAACCAAGTCGCTTCCAAACAGACTACAAGGTGAAATTAGACTACAGTCATATGTGCAACCAGACCAGATAGCCAACCGCAAGCTATTCAAGGCGGATTCAATCTCAAATCATCCCACCAGTGTAACATTCGACGAGCCGTACCCCTGGTGATTTTCAACAGCCATGAAACTATGGTTCCCAGCTTTCCAGCACCAGTTGACCATACCTGCAGAATAAAATCTTTCCTTGAAAGAATCGGTGTTTTGCCAATCCCCGGAACTACACATAACACTACAATTTTTTTACGGATTTCACGTTACATACCCAACTTAACGTGTGCAATACGTGCGTTAGTAATATGAAAGCTCTTCAATTAGTGCGAAATTTCTGAACAAACGTTATGGAGCTTCTAGAAAGACTCTGCTAGTAACAACACCCAGTCTGTTCCAGTACAACATATTGTTAGTCATGAGTCCTCTCTCCAGTAATATCTTTCAGTTTGCTGGAAAAATAACTCTTCTAATGAAGATCAGCTTTGTTTCTAGGTGAAGTCAAATAAAATTTGACAAACTGAAGTTTGTTAGCCCATTCTACAAAGTTTATGAACCGGCAGTGCTGATATAAACTCGACTTCGAGGACTCAAGCTAAGGGGCTGAACTTTGTGAGTGGAAGGAACATCAGAAAGAGAGGTATTCATCAAACATTTACTACATTTGGTAATTCAGGTAACGTCAAAAGAGCTCGCATCATCTTCGCAACGGCTGAAAATTCCTTTTCAGATGCATAAGGTTTTTCTCCACGTGACTTGACTTGGTTCCGCGAATTTAGACTAAGCTGAAGATGAAAAAACATCAATTTCTGACTACAGTTTTCCCTGTAACCTGATCCACATCATACGCCTAGGTGGTGTGAAGATATGGCACGATAGCGTTTTGGACCTGAACCCCTATGCTTCGAAGTTCATCTTCAAAGAACAGCTTATGGTTGATTATGTCGGGAAAACTTATTTGATATAAGCTACTGTTGGCTGAGTATCTTAGATTAGTACGGATCAATGACTTACGCGTGGCAGCTTCACATCTTTGATATCCCAGTGATGTGAAGGGGCACCGCATTCCTTCAACCCATTTGGGAGTACGGGTCCTTCAGCAAAAGTTGTCCCGCGATTTGGTTGGTGCCTGCCAGTCCTCGTCGCCTCGTAGGGCGTGACGAGTGGCGGCAATATGGTGCAAGTGCTTTCCAGGATCGAAGGGTTACTGAGGGTTTCGGCCGACACATCATGTGTGGACTGGCCGGCTTTTTGAACCAGTTCTGGAAGGGATAGTGGTGCACCATGGTTGGAGGAACTCAGGCCGTTATAATAGGCGACCGGGGAGGAAAGAGTTGCATAATACACCGGAGTGGAATCCGAATCGAGCGTAGTATACTCGGATGATGTGCTCAAATTCGATGAGCGATTCGAAGTGGTATGTAACGTGAGACAGTCCACCAGTAGGCCCGGTGAAGCAGTCGTATTGGGGAAATTGTATACCCGCACCTGGTTCAGCGGGCTTCGGTTAGCTATGTCGAAAACTGGAGATGCGGGTTCCATGGCTGTAGTACTGATCGTGGCAGCAGAAATGGAGGTAGCGCTGGCACTCCTGTATGCGGGTATAGGGGACGGCGGGTCGAAATCGATAATTGATGGTACACCAGTGCTTTCCCAATTCCAGCATGTTGTACTGGTAGACGCTGCTGTTGGTGCTGCTGCCGCCATACCACCGGGCGAATTTTTGTTGTTGTCCACGTGTGGTGAGATAACCCCCAGCATTTGGAATCACACGTAAGGTAAGCAACCACCTGTTTGATGGACTATGCTTACGGATAGTCTGAAAAAACGACACCAATGCGGGTAGTGTACACCCACATTCCTGAATTCTATTCGTGAAGGCGAACATGAAATTCCTTATCTTCGGTTAGGCCTGCCAAAGACCACGAGGACGCCCCCTTAGTAAACTGGTTATATGATTCGTTAAAACCGTCGAACTTCCAGCCAATCACTACAAAGCTGAGTGATCATTGGCCATATTGCCGCTTTTCACACGGCTTCCACCGCGCAGAACGTGCGTTAATCGGCTTGAACGGGACACAAGAACACGGTGGCTACTGTGCATTATTACGACAGCCTGAACATGCATACTGGGGTTGAAGACTAGCCGTACTGACGATCTTATTGGATGACACGCCTGGGACATGGGGAGACAGATAATCAAAGCTGGGGAGACTGAGGGATGAGGTTAGCCAGCTCACTTTCATTAATGACAGCTGTCAGTTGAAAATGCTCTCAACAACTTCTTTCTATTTATAGACGTTATACACGACTCACAAGTTAACGCCCTTATTGGGGTTCACCAGCCACAGACTGTCGAAGAGTTTTCAGCAACCTTATGAGTAGTGTATTACGTTCAGAAAATTTATCGGGTTATCTCGAATATCTTATGAACTGAAACATGAGGTGGCCTGGTGCAGTGCATTCAGTTGCTTAATAACATCAGAAAGAGAGATTCAGCTGGATTCAGTTAGGTCTCCCGAGAAAAACCGAACTGGTATGCAGCTCGCGTTAGCATTATTCACTAATTCTACACCTAGCGAATTACCGGTACTGAACGTTAGGTAGTCAACAAACGGTGGTTTTGCTTTGTATGGCATTCGCTGCTCCCTTCAGTGTAAACTACTTAATATGACGTTAGTACCATAAGGCAACCCGTAGAGTCGAACGGACAACGTTCGACAAATGGCGTTTTCAACACAAATAAGGTAGTATAGACATAAAATCCTGGTTCAGTTCAATCTCATTTCAATTTACCAGCTACAAGCTTGTATCATAGGCATGTTGGTTCCAGCTGCTACAGCTTTGATCACCGGAAAACGTGAATATCGAAAATAAAATCATGCTTTGGAAGCGAAGGCATGTTCAGTTTGTTCGGAAATAAGGTAGCTACGCATTGAAAGCGATAGTTTTGATACACGAGCATCCCTGACTGCGCTACTGGGTTAATCTACCAGTGTCACCAACCATTGGTGATTTGAGTACCGGGGTCCTCATCCAGGGAGGCGGCAGTTCCTGACCCGACGAAGTTTACTGGTTAGTATTGCCAGGCCATGTACTGTCCACCTCTCAGTCGCTTCCACTCAGCACAGGGCTGGGAGAAAAGGGCTCTGTGAGGCAGACGGTCTTCCGGCATGCGGATTACATGTCCTAACCAGCGCAGCCTATGAAGCGTGAGTAATTTCTCAATCGTGGAATAGTTCCTTCTTCCTGAGACGATCTGGCGTACCTCAGCATTGCTAATCCGATGTTCCCACCAGAACTGACCAACGCTTCGAAGGCACCGATTGTCAAACACTGACATCTTTCATATGCTTTCTGCGTGCAGAGGCCACGTCTCGGCTCCATAAAGCACTAGGGATCGCACCATCGTACCCTTGGCGGGCAGACTGACATCACGTCGGTTCTGTAGGTGTCGGAGGGTGGCAAAAGTTGGCCTGACCTTTCCGATTTGCGAAGTAATCTCATCTCCAGCCAGTCCACCGAAACTTATACAACTGCTCAGGTAAACAGATTTATCCACCACATCGATTGACGGATACCACGGTGGTTTCTACGTGACGTTCTTGCTCCTTTTCTGAAAACGGTCGAGGAGCCTCATTCGGCTGGCATTCTATTTTTGTTCCAAATTTTCTGCAGTGTGGATATCAGACTGCTCACCATCTTCTTTGAAGAGTGCGAGGTACAGATCATCCGTGCCAGGCGCCTTGTCGCGCTTCAGGATTGAAATCTTACGCTGGATTTCGGTTGCTGATGCTGGGTTTGTGTCAATGTCTTATTCGGGTCCATTTGATTCTTCCAGCGTTTGTGTTGAAAGAGACCGGCTGAACTGTTCTTGAAAGTGCTCAGCCTACCGGTCAAGTCGGCGATTGAGGAAGTAAATTGCTGTTCCTTTTTTTCCGTACATTGTCTCATTGACACCTACATTCTTTTCACCGGTCGATTGAATCAGTTGAAATAGGGCATGATGGTTGCCTTTAGCGAAAGCCTGGTCCATCTCGTGGGTTTACAGCGTTCTCTGTCATTCTTCAGGATCCTGATTATCCCGTGTTTGAAGGATCTGCCATCATAGTCGCTAGTTGCTGATATGGCTTTTCTGGCAGCAGTAAGATCTGCAAATCTCAAAGATATCTAGTGTTCATATGGCCGTGTGTTTGCAATAGCTTATTAGCCAGGTTATGGCTTTTTGGCAGCAGTAAGATCTGCAAATCTCAAAGATATCTAGTGTTCATATGGCCGTGCGTTTGCAATAGCTTATTAGCCAGGTTAGCTCGATACTCTTCAGCTACTGGGACTTGTTGTAGTTGATGAACGGAGCTACTCTCTTTCGGCACGCTAGTGCTAGCGGAAAGCGAAGTGCTAAATGGTATGATCAGATTCAAGTTGCGTACTCCAGAAGAAACGACAATCCTTGACTGAAGCTGTACATCGTCAACTCATAGCCCATATGGTCTAATTGAGTCCACGAATGTTTTGTTGTAGGTGGCCTGCAAGGAACTCGGCGTGACCTACTGGCTAGGAACAGACGATGATCTGCACACAACTGAAGAAGTCGTTCACCATTATCCGCATGCTCAACATCGATTTCAAATCGACCACCTAACTGTGCTTCTTCCGGACTTAGTCATCCAGTTTGGACCTTCACACCACCCGCCAGGATTACCATATCCGTCCTTCTTGCTAACCGACGCAGTCCTGACATATCTTAAAACTCGTGCTTTTCGATCTCAGAACTGCTATCTGTGGGGGCGAATGCTGATACGACAAAGAAACATAGTTGATACTGAGGCAGAAGCGCACAGCTCAAAGGCAACTGTTTACTGGGATCCAGTCCAGTATGGCGCTTTCAGCCTTGGAGCTGAATGCAACTCCCACACCGTAGAAACCAAGAGTCATTGCGTCAGGATCACCGGATGCCCGAGAAGTGAAATCTAGATCATCTGGGGTCTTCCTAGGCGGCTTGAGGTATAAGACCAAAGTGGGGTCTTGTATGCGTGTTTCGGAGACACAACAGTCATCGATAGAGAGGGAAAGCAAGGTTTTAGCAAGGGTTGCCTGTTTCCCAACTTGACCTAGAGTACGGACATTGAAGGCTGCGACGTGGATCAGATCTTTCTGAGTTAGTAAATGATTATTTTGGTTTATTTTTCTGGGCGATGTTTGAGACACGGAATAGTGGTTAGGGGGTTGGCCGATGGGTTGATTGCACTGCACTGTGCAATGGGTGGAAAGGTAATGAGAGAGATGGTCGGTAAGCGAAGAGCTTCAAGGGCGAATGATACTTCCCGGTTGCCTAGGCCGAAGAAGGGGGTTTAGTTTAGGTACCCCACCTTGAGTCTTTGACGCAGAAGTCTGACCCACAATTGAGTAAGTGGATGTAGAAGTTTTGTTCGGGACCCTTCCCCTAGTCTCTGACTCAAAAGTCTCGACCGCGAGACAGCGGCTGTTAGTGTTTTCTTGGGGACCCTTTCCGGAACAATGACTCAACAGTCCGACCTACCAGACTGTAGGGGACTGGTCTGGTCCGGGGACGCAGAGAGTAGGGCATTGCTGCCTCATTCCTAGTGCAGCTGCGCACAACAGGTGCCCTCTGAGCAGCACCGGACTCTTTGGTCGTAAAAGTATTTCGACTGTATCGAGTAATTTGCCGTCGGTCACGGTCAACTGTTGGGCGATCGGAGTGTGTGCTTTTAAGAGCCAATCTTTTCCATCCGTCCTTCCTCAGGTGAAGGCAGCATCGCTGTTGGTCGCCTGGAGGAAGCACCTTACTGTCCTCATACTTCTATCGCAGAGAACAGTACGATTTTATCTTCTAGACCGCCTCGTAATGCGATTACTCGCAGTGCGGGGACTCGACATTCTTCATCGGGCTGTTCCCCGCTGGCTTTCCTTGCATGATTGAACCTTTGGGAACTGATTTCCAGACATAATAGCCCGCACCGAAGTACTGAAGCCCGAACACCACGACAAGGTGACATCAAAACAACCAGTATCGCCGTAATAAACAACCACACAGTTGGGCAGGCCTATCAGCGGATGTTCGATCCAGCCGGCATGCGTTGATCGACTTTTTTCAGCGTTCGCAGTTGACCGAATTTTACTCACGAGACAGTATTGATTGTTCAATGCCAGCTATTGTCTTGCTTGGCGTACAAGACTCTACTCACCAGAGTAGTATGCTCACTCAGGCAAATGAATTTAAACTATCTGGACAGAGAAGCGGATAACGCGGTTGAAGGCAACAGAAACGAAACAGAAACGACGCAAGACAATCTCCAAAACGGGAATGGTAAGCGTTTTGGGAAAATGCGATTCTCTTGAGGCAGGATAAATGTTTTGCTTAAACCACCGGTATTTTAGACCCAAAAATAGATAGGGTATCAATATACCCATTAGAACAGTGTGATCAGTGCTCAGATCACCACTCATTTTGATATACAAGCAGGCGGCGAAGTGTGTTTGTTACGCCCATACGATCTCGGTTTGAGACATGGACCCATTAGTTTGTTTATGTTGATAATCGAAGTTCTATTCGCTTGGACCAAACAACTGGAATTATTACTGACCTGGAATCTGTGCAGACGAAATCGATTCCACTCGCAGAATTATTGGAAAAGAGTTTGTGCTGTTCTGAGACGTCCTCATAGACTCCGAAATGTGTGAAGTTGCTATAGGAATGGTATCCAGGATTTCAATTTGTATATTGGAACAACGGATCGATTCCTCTAATCGTCAGGGCTAGATGACAGGATGTCGCATTATAACAGGACAACGTAGCGGTACAGAGCTCTTGTTTAGTGGGGGATTATTCCGTGACATGATGACACTGCAATCCAGACCCCTCAAACCACTGAGAATCTCTGGGGCACAGTGTCATGTTAACAAAGCTAAAGTTGATGGGCCTAAAACTCAGGAGATTCTGTCAAACTAGACTGGATAACCGTCACCTGGACATTCATTCAAAGTATACCGAGTCGTTCAACAGAGATTCTGAGGCAAAATCGTCGAGAGACATCGTTGTAACCTCTCCTGAGCAAACTCTAACAAGATATTATCCTGCGTATTTTCTCCTTTATTTTTGCTCTATAACTCAGATAACTGGGGACCTACCCTGCGATTATATATTAGACTAAATCCCACCAGTTTCCAACACATTCATTTCGTTTAAGGTATGTCAAACCAATATGCGAAACCACTCACATTAAGGTCGATGAAATTTAAAATCCAAAAAAGAATGAGGCGAACAGCGCAGGAGACATTTGTACCACTATTTTTGGCTCATTTTTTTAAAAAAATAAACGGAATCTCATCTGAAGAACGCCATGGAGTAAATCCACAGGTATACCCTCCAAGGAGAAATCATATTCGTACAGTTCTCTCGCCGTCCAACAGCTCTTTCCGAAGTCCAAATGGAGACAGTTCGTCGCAGAAACCTAACGTTGCACATAGCAGTGGTGATTATCAGAAACTTTCTGTTCCGTTCAACTCAGCCAGCTAGATTCGCACATATGTACTGTGTGTTCTTGTATCTATGTTTTGTGGCAATTTCGGTTGTCTAGTATTTGGTCCACCGGTAACAGCGTTTCACTTGTTTACCAAATTGCAAGTTACATCACGCAAAATGCCAGTGCTTCTATCACTTGTCTCCCACGAATCAGCTATATCGGTCATCTAGGCCCTGTCCGAACTTCGAGCATTTCGTAAGCTACAGGCGGCACACGGCAGATTTCCTGAGGGGTCAGTGTAGTTTATCACCATTGTGTTTAAGGTGACTTCATGATATCCCCCCCCCCCCTTGTTTTCTTACTCCACCAATGTACACTCGATCTCCACTTGTTTTGCTGATTCGTACCCGCCATTCCTTTTGTCGTCAAGGCCGACACTGGACACCAGTATGTGTGTGTGTGTGCGCGCGCTTAAAATGTGCATGCATATCCTTGCTCTTTTCCTGGTTCTGCCTTGGCTTGTGCGATGGCGTCGTCCTGGTTATTGCACTGCCAATCAGATTCACGAGACTGGCCTTGGATTGGCTCACACTAGCAAGCCAACATTCCGCTAGCCGTTGTCAGCCTCACGGACCTTCACTTTAGATTGTACTGCTCAGTAACAAACCTGCGTACCTGTAGACGCCACGAACAAGGACATAAGTGTTTTTTTAGTATAGTTTTGCTTACTTTCGTGTAAATACCACTATAGACTTTCGAACTCAATTTTGGTATTCGTCAAACCTATGCATGACTCAAAGTTCGGAGCCCTTGTATTCCATACCCTCCCTCCAAGAGGACGCCACTTTGTCCAGGCCTAATGACAGAGCATTGCACCCTGGTGCTTTTGAATAATAATACCTCCACAAAATTTACCTGTATGGAAAATGTGCTTCTTGAAAAATTCCTCTAATACATGCCTGCACTTGGTGCAAAAAATGTCAGAAAATATCTGTTGCAGTACTAATTGGAAGAGCATGTTTCACCGCGGTGCCGGTGAACGGTGCTCGCTTTGGTAAACTATCTTGGAAAACATTTGCCCTTTTTACAAATCTAGGAGTTGACAGTAGCTCATCAAATCCAGTGCTTGCACCCCAAAAGTTGTCATATGTCCACCTACTGTGACACCAGTGATCGATCTAACATCTGTTGTGATCGAACACGTTTGGACAGCTTTTGTGGTAGTGAAATTAACCAGCCAACCTGAGTCCTTTCGGTATCTAGCTGCCATGCCACCCAAAGGAAGCCCGAGGGCTGTGATATTGCCAGGTTCCTAAAGCCTAGACAGCGGAAGTCGAGAGGCATAGGTCAGGTTCGAACTACGGACCTTCCGGTCAGTAAAGTCGCGCTCTAACCACTTGAGTCATCTGCCCCCCCCCCACCAAGCTGGGTCAGTAAAAGTTGAATACCTGGTCCGGATCACTTTATATATGATCATGTGGTGAAGCAGTGAATCACGTAATTTCAGAATCAGACAGTTTAGAGTTATTTTGTTTCCTGACTGACCCTTTTCCTCTAGAACATGGAAAACGAAAGTAGTCAGCTAGTTATATTGGGATCTTCATTTAGCACAGCGCAACAAGCTGATTGCAGTAAAGGTAAACAACTAGTGTTACGAGCTTCTGATTATCGGTTCGTTGTGAAATGAATCAAGGCTCTCGTAGAAACAGCGCAACGTTTAGTGAACTTTTCGGAAGGTCACCTGAACGTCTGGCAGAAATGCATGGCTTCGATCGAATGAGTCAATAAATTCCAGCACAAGGACCGATTGTCGGTAGTGTGCGACTTACTGAGAACGTGACCTTTCGAGTCGAATATAAAAGATGGTGCTCGAAGCTACTGTTAGCATTGTGAGCTTGTATGAACCTGCGTGTACATTTGAATAAATTTCGCACCAACACTACCGATGTTTAATATCCCTTACTTCGGTCGCTGGATGCTACCCAGTCAACTCTTCCCTTGGTTGTGGTGGCCTTCCAGCTGAATTCCTCACCTACAGAAAACAGTCAACATTCCTGTCTTCCTATCCATGTGTTCCTGCACCATTTCCTTTTCCGATCCCGTGGTTCGTCTGCATCGCTGATCCACCCTATTTTTATAACACCTGCGTCAGCACGACCGGTTACTTGTTTTCGCGTGCTTACACAGCTGACAAGCTCATTTCTCCAGGAGCCAATCCTTTGAAGTTTCGTTCGATGAGCCACCAGTTTGCAGATTGCAGTGTTGTTCTTAGCCATCGGATGTCTGAGCTCTGCAGGGAAGGCACAAATTCTTAGCTCTCTAACCATGCTCCCCGTTTGGTCATGTGGGCATGCTGAGTTGCACTTCTACGCCTTTAGCCACATTGAAAACTAGGTCTGTAGTTGACAATGGATCGTGCGCTGTCACGTGTGCCTATCTTTTCGCTCTGTTTTCGTGTCCATTCAGTGTGACAACAGTAAATCGTGCTCGCGTTTGACTTTGTCTGCCGGCAATCGGTCATAGTGGAATACACCAATTTCCCCCGCACCAGTCGGACAGTTCAGCAGTACGTTGGCAGGTACGATTGGTCCGTCACGGACTTCAGCTCATGTCTTCAGGTCTTCACTTTGATGGTTCCGTGGTGTAAATGGAACACAGCTATGCGAATTATGTTACCGGAATGACTCCAACAAGACTCTTGTGCTATTTTCCTTTCATCAGTTGACACTGCTTACAGGCCATAACATGTCCTCGTACTTGGCTAGTCATTCTTGGTCAGTGGGTCGTGTTTCGTACGTCTGTTCGATCTCGCGCTTTACTTCTATTCCAGACTGTCAGCTATTGGGGTTGAAGGACTTGCGAATTATCTTATCTCCAAGCTCAACTCTCTTCAACATCAACCTATCCTGGTGGCAACATGTCCTCGTACTCTCTTCAACATCAACCTATCCTGGTGGTCCCGGAAGCTCTCGAGGTCTTTGATTCTACAACACCTTGGACAAATATGTCATCCCTCAAGATGGAGACAAATTTTCTTATTGGGACGTAATGTTCAACGATGTGGCCCTTTAAGCCGAGCATCATGCTTGGTGTTTCTTGGTCATCCGATAGACCTGTCCTAACAACCATTCATTCACATGGCTTTCATTCCATTCTGCATGTCGAATCATGGGATTGTATCCCTTTAGCCACAGCATTAGGCCTATTTTCCGAAGAACACTTGGAAATCTCCATCCATCCACGGAGTTTATGGTCGATCAGGCCATATGTGTATTGTCTGAACAAGTAAGTTTTCCATGAACATTCCTTGTGGGTTATAAATCACCCCTGTCGGCACCTGTCGAGATGCAGTTGTCATCAGAACATCCATTGGTTGAAGAATTATACCATCGTTTACTATGATTTCAAGTACACATCCTATACGATCAATCAGGTAGGGAACTGTTCCGCACAACTGTTTTGAACCTTAGTCACAAAATCTGAAGATCAACTCTGAACCCTCATTTGTGAATGAGTTTCTGATTACGGTTACTACGTGTTTACATAGTCGAGGGCGAATTCTATTCATACTGAAATTTATCACACTCACTGAAAACCGTGTTGAAGGGACCAGGTTTCAGGCTCTGATGACCGGTAACAGCAATGCAACCACGATGTTTACATAGGTTTTTACTGGTTTTTACAGTTACAGCGAAACTGGTGTACATCAAAACAGGTCCATATTCCATTGAAGTTCGAGAAATTTCCTAAAGTTCTCGGCAAAATTACCACTCATGCCAGCAAATTCCCCATCAGCCTGTCTGTGCGTATGATAATCGTTTAAAACAGCCAGACGGTGATGTCC